CCGCCTCCTATGACAGTGACACTGACAAGGCCTCTGAGCCTGGCCACGGTGGCTGATTCTGGAGGGATGTCTCGTCTACAGCCGGGTGGCCTCCCAGCTGGCAGGGAGCTGGGCCTTGGCTCCTATGCTTGCAGCTCCCCCATGTCCCACTGCAGCACAGCTCAGCTACGAGAGCTAACAAATATGTCTACAGCAGACTGAGCGTGCATGCAGGTGTCACTCGGCCCTCACAAAACCCAGCAGGTGAGGATGGCAACCTCCTTCCTTCCAGATGGGCAGGCTGACACTTAGAGAAGTGAGGCACCTGCCCAGGCGCCAGAGCTGGGGAGAAGCAGGTGGCGCAGAGGCCGTCTCTCTGCGGAGGGCAGACTGGCCCCATGCGGTGCACGGGAGCTGTGTGTCTGAGCACCAGGAGGGCCCTGACTGCTCTAGGCTGCCAGGGTTCAGGCCGTCCCAGTGCCTGAACTTTCTAGAAAATGGAATGATGAGCCAGCCCTGCCTGCAAAGCCTGCAGCCAACCATGGGGGGAGCTACACTCTCGGGTCTGGGAGGTCTGTGACCCACAGGAGGCGACAGGAGCAGGGAGGGCATGGGGACCTGGAGGCAGCTGAAGTCCCAGGCCCAGGCGGGGCTGTAGGACAGGATGGGTGTAGGCAGACAGAACCAATAGCAAGCAGCCTTCTGCCCCTCGCCACTACGTCCCCAGCACTGGCACAACACAGGCCCTCCACAAAATCCTGTTAAGGGGTCGGCATTGTGGCACAGTGGGGACAGCTGCCACCTGGGACACCCACATCCCTTATGGGAGTACTGCCACCTGGCTGCTCTGCTTCTAGTCCAGCTCCCTGCTAATGCGGCTGGGAGGTGGCAGAGGATGGCTCAATTGCTCGGGCCCCTGCCATTCATGTGAGAGACCAGGAAGGAGTTCCTGGCTCCTGCTTCCGCCTGGCCCAGCCCTGGCTCTTGTGGGCATTTGGAGAGTGAACAAGCAGATCGAAGACTCTCTCTGACTCTCTGTCTGTCTGTCTGTCTCTCTCTCTCCAGCTCCTCCCCTTTCAAGGAAGTGAAAGAAACCAGCAGCTCGCGGGGTGGCCCCTGCAGATACACTGGTCCCCACAGCACTGTAAGGGAAGATCTTGCCGCTGAGACAGACTTCGCCCGGGAACCAAGACTCAGACAATCCAGCAGGTGCATCCCCCAGCTCCGGGATACCAACATTCCTGTAGCTGTGTTGGCTCAGCCCTGGCAGCACACAGCACATTGTGCCCGACCCCACTGTGGCTCCAGGCACCTGCAGATACTACTGTCACCCACACCACCCAGGGAGGCCCTGATGCTTCACCCAGCCCCTCCGGGGACTCCACTCACCCAGAGCTTGCCCTGTAGTTAACCTTTGTAACTTTGCATTATTTCAGCCAAAGAACACTCCAGACTGTGTAAGCCCCAGGCCTCACAGAAGCAGAAAGGGCACCTGCGATGTGGTTCTTCGCCCATTTGCCACATGAAATTAGCTGCCTCGTGAGCCCATGGCTATCGCCTTACTCTGCTTAGCCTAGAAGACGCTCCCTGAAGGAACGAACAAGTGAAGGAAGGAAGGAGGGAAACAGAGCAAAGCCCCACCCAGCCTGGGGGAAAGCTCCCCATTCTCTAAGATCCCCCTCCCCACGGCTGCCACCCCAGCCGGGCTCTGCCCACAGAACCACTCCAACCACTCCACTCCAACCACTCTGTTGTTGCAACTGTTGCTCTTCATTGAAAGGTTATCAGGGCGGAAATTCCGGCTCCTGCCAGTTCCCTATCTGAGCACTGCAGGACAAGTGGCCTTATCTAATTGGAATGCCTGGCCTGCCATAGATAAAGGCTGCTTCTTTTGGAAGGGAAATGCTCCCTGCCCATGACTCTGTGACTGCCTGGAGAGAAACAGGCCAGGTTGGGGTAGGGGTGGGGGGAAGGGTGCGCAGCCCCCTGGAGGGGAACAAGGAAGCCCCTGGGTGCCCTTTGACCTCAGCCTCTGCTGCCTTCATCCCTGTTCTGTTCTCTTCTAGCCCGGTTGATTTGGATCCCTGAACCTCCTTGCAACATCCTAGGCTGTGTGGCCATGGCCTTGCCCTGGAGTGAGTTTCTTCCCGATGGCTGGCCCCCACTTCCGCCTCCCAGCCCCAGTGCGGATGTGCACCTGGGGGTGAGTTACGGGGGTGGGGGGGGGCTACCTTGTCACTCAGGCCTCTGTGCTGAAGGCGCTCTGCCAGGAAAACCCAGGCTGGAGAGGTGGTGCTGCCTCTGCCCGGTGCTGCAGTCACACCCGTACCCTGAACAGGGGCTTCGCGAGCACAGGCTGAAGAGCGGCCACGCGCCAGCGCCGCCCCAAGCACTCACTCGCACGCGCACGCCCTCCTGTATGCAGGTTCACACATGGCCACATGCATGGGCACACACTCCTTACATGACTCCAGCTGAGCGGTGCTGGCCACACACCGGGCCCCTGGGGCGTGAAGGCGCCGGCGTCCATCACCACCAGGCTCCGACCAGACCTCTGCTCCGGGGGACAAACACTCTCCCTCCTCCTGCTCTGCTTCTCCCCCAGGGACCGTGGCTTCTCCCTGGGTCTTCTGAACAGAGGCCAGCAGGCAGACAGGTGCTCGCTATGACAAGTGCGCACAAGTTCATGAGCTTCTCAGGGTCACTTGAGCTGTCGGGGGACCATCATCAGTGACAGCCAGGAGGCAGGTCTGGATGAGGCAGGCCTGAGCCACAGTCGAATTAAAGTGGTGGCCAGGGGTGGTGTTGAGGCTGAGGATGGGGTCTGGCATCAAGGCTGACGTGGACCCAGGGGAGGATCGAGATAGGCTGGGGTGGCAATGACCTATGATGTCACAAGTCTACATGGCTGCACATATGGACACACACAAACATGGGCTGTATGTATGTACAAGAGCATACATGTGAGTGTATGCACACACACACACACACTTGCCAGCTTTGAAGGGCCCAGAAGTGACGCTCCCCCAGAACCAATGAATACGCCGAGGGACCGGATGTTGGTGCCTACACATCATGCCCCGTGGAAACAAACCGAGCCTCCTTGACAAAACGTGGTTGCCACAGCCAGGGCAGGAAAGGTGCGAGAGGAGCTGGGACGGCTGTGCCAACAAGGGAGAAACAGCCCCCAGTACAAGAACACGATGTTAAAAAGTCAGAGGAACCAGGCCCACCTGCAGCAACCTGAACATCAAAACAATGAGTGAGAATAAAGAACTGAAACCTGCTAAATACAATTAGCATCCACGTGGCCACACTGACCTAGGCCAAGGAGGGAAGGAACAAAGGAAGGGAAGAGGAGGGGACGTCCTTTCTCACCGAGAAAGCCAACGGATGACAAGAGAAACAAGGGCACCAGAAACAGCACCTGCTGCTAGCTCTTGGCCATGTGGTCACCCCATGGGAGCACTGTGGCCATTGCTTCCTCCCCTTGCAGGAGGTCTCCCACGGTGTCTCACCTGCCTGTGACTGCAGAGGGGTTCAAGTGCACATCTGTAGCTGTGCCTCTGTGTAGATACAAACCTAGGAACTCCCAGGGTCTGGCTTGTGGCACAGCAGGTTAAACCTCCACCCGCAATGCCAACATCCCACATCAGAGCACAGCTCAAGCCCTGGTGCTGCACTTCAGATCCAGCTCCCCGCTATGCACCTGTGAAAGCCGCAGAGAATGGCCCAAGGCCTTGCACCCCTGGCATCCACTTGAGACACGCAGAAGGACTTCTGGGCTCCTGGCTTCAGCCTGGCCCAGCTCCTGCCATTGTAGCCATTTGGGGAGTGAACCAGGGATGGAAGATCTCTCTCTCTCTCTCTCTCTCTCTCTCTCTCTCTCTCTGCATTTCAAAGAAATAAAATCAATGTTTCTAAAAAACCTAGAAGTTCCAAGGTCCGTGTGGCTTAGTTTGTGCATGGAGCCATGCACATCACAGCCAGAGGTGGGTTCCTCAACATTTGAAAAGTATCTCCACTCTTAAATAGACATGGATGGGTGGATGCATGGATGGACGGATGAACAGATAGACAGCCCCACTCACACTGACTGTACAGGCCACAGCCATGTGCACACGTGCTCACTCACAACAAGCTCCCACCTTCTTGCCTGATGATTGCGATTACGCCCCCGCTGGGTTAGAGGCCAGCAGGGCGGAGTGACACACCCCCAGTGGTCCCCCTGCTCAAGGCAAACAGAAAAGTTCTCAATCTGCTTTGTCCTCCCTGTCCTCTGTCCTCTGGTGACCACTACCCCAAGTGACTACTGAGTTCTTCGAAGGAGTACGTGTGACCAAGGATTGAATGTTTTGTTTCATTCCATTTTAACGAGTTGACATTTAAAGCAGCCACATGCATGGTTCTGCGTGGACAGCTCAGCGCTGGGCCAGGGCTGGGCTTGCACTTCCTGTTCAGGAGCTGCCGGGCAGCCTAGGACCCTCCGCCATCCCAACTCAGCTCAGCTGTTGCGGCTGCACAGGTGAGCTTTCTCTACACACCAAAGAGCCCCGGGCCCCAACGGCAAACAAGGACCATCTCTCTCGACTGTGGGGTGATGGGCGTCCCTTCTGCTCTGGACAGCCTGGCGGGGCTCCACTGCTGGCCTGGCCAGCCTCGTCCCATGGGCCATGCTTGCTGACACTGCTCTAGAGCACCCCAGATGGTCACCCCAGCCTCCTTTGGGAGGGTAGGCACTTGTCAGCCAAGGTTGTGCCCCATCAAGGATTTCTCTCACCCACTCTCCCAAGAGGCCAGAAAGCTCTCCCTTGAAACCAGAGACACTGCTTGGTCCTCTAACAGGGTTGCAGTTGACCTTGGAGGGAGCCTGTGATCTCCTTGCAGAGAGTAGCACTTGTCACAAAGATGGAGCAACAGGGAATCACCCTCCAGCTCCTGCCGTGTCACCCACAGAGAAACCCCGAAGGCCAACGCCGCCGCCTCCTCCCCTGGGATGGAGAGGTTAGCTCGTCACTCACCGTGGAAGGCTGAGCACCTGCCTACATCTGGTCCATGAAGAGAAACATCCCGGCCCCGAAGCTCACAGCACTGGCTCATGAGAGCCCTGAAGTCTGCAGCTCAGGGAGGTCTATCCGCAAATGGGACCCGCTGAAAGAAAAGAGAAGAAAGGCTTAACTCGGCTTTGACATTGACTCCATCCGCTGCCTTTTGAAGCTGACTCGTAACTGCGGAAATGCACTCGCTCACCCCACATCCTTGCACGGGAGTGTATTTTCCCAGTGATCCCCTTTGCGGCCCCTGCACAGAGCAGTGGCAGACAGGTGAGCACCTCCTCACCCCTGCTCTCAAGGAGCCCGGTGAAGCAAACAGGTGCACGGATCTTTCTGGCAACACGACGACACAAGGACGTGAAGGAAGCGGGGTGGGCTGGGGTGGGTCTGGAAAGGGCGGCTGGAGAGAGATGATATTTTTAGGGGCCCCTTGAGCCAGGATGAGTGAGAGGCTGTGGTGGGGGTGGGGAGGGGGGATATGAAAGACCTGAGGAAGCATCTCCAAGGAGAATACAGAGCAAGCCAGGAAGATGCGAAGTGCAATGCAAGATGGGGACCATGATAAATCAGCCTGGCAGTGGGGGCTGGCTCCGTGGGGCAGTAGGTTAATCCTCCGCCTGCATTGCTGGCATCCCATATGGGTGCCGATTCTAGTCCCAGCTGCTCATCTTCCAATCCAGCTCTCTGCTATGGCCTGGGAAAATAGTAGAAGATGGCCCACGTCCTTGGGCCCCTGCACCCACGTGGGAGACTTGGAAAAAGCTCCTGGCTCCTGGCTTCGGATTGGCTCAATTTCTGCCATTTGGGGATTGAACCAGCAGACTCCGTCCACAGTAGGAATCAGAGTGGAAGCAACCGGATTTCTCCTGTGTTGCCTCCTGCCTGCCTTCGGGCAGGGTCCCCTCACCAGCTTCCCCTGCACCACGGTGTGCACCTCCTGTGCCCTCATCTGTGATCTGGGCCTCTCAGTGTCTCCGCAGGGACATCCTGGGACACGCAGCTCAGTCCTGCCCCGTGGAGCCCCTCCTTGTAACACTGAAATCTGCTGAGACCTTCATACAGCAAAGAGCAATTTCTCCCGAGATCCTCTTACAACATCAGAGGCTGTCACCTTGTTACTCCCGTGGGACGGACGGGCAGCTGAGCGCTTGGATGAGCCAACAGCCCAGGATGACAAAGGCAGCCAGTGGCAAGGAACAGCTCACAACAGAGCACGCGGCCACTGCGTCTGGCTGCAGAGTCCTCAGCATGGCCGTGATGGAAGCAGCTCCTGCCTGCTCAGGCCACCTGGGGGCCCGCCCCTCTGCACCTGGGGACGGAGCTGCAGTTCCGCGGTTCTCCAAAGACTCCGGTATTGGAGACCTGGTCCCCAGAGTCTGATGGTAGTGGTTAATAATTGAGGTGTGGAGAGGATGAGTTTAATTATGGTGTCTGGGAGGTGGCCCAGTGGGAGGTCTTCAGGTAATTCCCACAAGAGGATGGGGTGTTTCAGCCAAGTTCAGCTCAGCTCCTCTCCGGCTCCCTCACTTGCCACGTGAGCTTCCCTGCGTTCCACCCTCTGTTGCTGCCTGACCGCGGAGTGGGAACCGCCAACTCTGTCCCCTGGAATCTGCCTTCTCCCCTCCTAAGGAGCGTCTCTCGGATGTTTTGGATTCGGTAATGAAGAGCTGACGGACGCAGGCAGAGTCTTTGCTCCCCCTCTCTGGAGCTGAAGGTGACCATGCCACTTGCTTCCACTAATGGCACAACAGCAAATGTGACGCACACTTGTATGCATGCCCGTGTAGGGACAGGGTCCGTCTCATGCCAAAAGACTCAAAGGGCGAATGTGTGAATTAAACAGGACACGAAGCCCTGAGTCTCAGGTCTCTGCCTCCCTAGCTGGCATCTTGAGCCACCATTAGCTGCCTCCAAGGGCTCACATTAGCAGGAAGCTGGAACTGGACGCCGAGCCAGGACTGGAACCCAGGCACTCTAATATGAGATAGATGCAAGCATCCAAGTCGCATCATCACTGTGGGACCACACGCCCAGGTGTTGAATTGGCTTTTTATAAGATAAACCATCCATTGCAGCGGACTCTAAATCTCAACTGGCAATCTTGCAGCCAGGGGGCCTTTTAACCCCCAGGTGTGTACCCCAAGAACGGCTGACCGTCAGCAGTCCTGACCTCTCAGCTGTTCCAACACTGGCTTTCCTGTGCTGGTCCTGGGGACAGGTCGTTAGCTGCTTCCACCTCATTGGCCCCTGAAAGCGAATTTGGAAAGGCCGCGCCCCAGCTACCAGCTCAGCCGAGCCCCACGGCGGCCACGCCTCTGCCTGCACCCTCTGTCTTCAGCCCCTCCCAGGCTGCTTCAAATGCCGGACAGACACACCTCTGTGTGGTCCCCATTTTCCAGGCGGCCCTGGAGACCTCAGGTGACTCTCCACAGTCACAAACAAGGAAGGCACAGCCCAGAGAGGTGGCCGCTCTGTCCCCCGGCCGGACAGCGGCATAGTGGGCTGTGGGCAGGGGGCCTGTGCTCTGCCCCCGGCCGAGCTGACTTCCTCTCGTCCTAACCAAGCCGATCGGCTCCTTCGTTTCCATTCACTCACCTGGCAGCCAGGAGGACCTCAGCAGGGAACTGCGGGGCTGAAACCAAGAGACTTCAGAGGCACGAGAAATATCTGCCAGCCCTAACTGGAGCAAATTCCAACCCAACAAATCACGGTTATGTTATTTCTCCGGCTCTGGTTCCATAAATCTTTCCTGCTTCCCCCCGATTAGTGCAGCCACTGCTCACTATCCGACATTCCTTTCTGCCTCTCACTACAACACAATAAATCTCCCAAGAGACTTTTGTTCCCCAATTTTGTTTCTTTGCGGGGCAGGGCAGGGAGATAAACCTGACATCATCCCTGGAGGAGCAGGGCCGGCGTGCTTAATAAATCACCACCTTCCCTCCAAGTGGAAAAATGCGCATCTGAATAATTGTTAGCACCAGCTCCGGCTGAGGCCTGGCGCCTCGTGTGGAGACGCCAGGCCTGTGGGCACGCCATGTTGCAAACCCTGTGCCTGCTTCTAGGTGTGCTCCCAGGAGACCCGGCTCCAGTCAAGTCCAGGATTTCCCAGACGGCCTTCCTGTGAGTCTTGGTTTACTCATCAATGAGATGGAAACTGTTGCCAGCTTCGACTCTTTTTGCAGGGTTGAGCTGAAAAACAAGTGAATGGAAAACAACCAGGAATCTCCTGGACACTAACAGAGCAACACCGGGAGCGTGAGAGCAGCCGATGTTTGTAACAGTTTACGAGTGCCTTGCTAAACCCCGCCCTGTACACTGCAATTCCGCCTCCTCTGTGGTTATTCACGGCCAATGGTGGCCCGCCATATTCGATGGAAAATTCTAGAAATAAACAATCCACACCTTTAAAAAAAAAACTATTTTGTTGCAGTCTGCTGTTAATGATTGGTCTGCTTTATTAGCAGCTGGGGGTGTTAGTCCCCTGGGTGTGATTTATCAATCAAGCTTTATGACAGGTAGCTATGTATGAGAGAGGGGGCAGTACTGCGCTGAGCTTCCAGCACCCCCTGGGGGCCTTGGAACAGACCCCGATGCCCGCTGTGGCTGTGTGTGTGTGTCTGTGTGTGTGTGCAGGGAGCAGGCTCGCAGGGCGAGGAGCCATGCCTCTGTGTGCACAGTGGCTGATCGCAAGGGTACAGTGGGAGGTTTCTTACACTGAAGTTCCATCCAGAACATGACGCTCACGGAAAATGAGATCCAGGCTGAGATGGCCAGATCAGCTTGCAAAAGCGCAGCTGACCCAGCAGTAAGAGCAGGTGCAAGGGCAGAGACAGAGCTGAGGGAGGGCTGGAGAGAGAACCTAGAAAAGTGCGTGGAGTGACCGGATCAGGGCTGCGGCTCAGGCTCTGTGTGTGAGCAGGAATTAGGGGCAGCAATTCTGGATGGGGGAACCAGGGAGGACAGGGCCAATGTTGGAGGGGTTGAGGGGAAGGGAAGGAGGCTGAGTGTTCATGTGTGGCCCTACTGGGGGATGCTCCCCTCTTCCTTCCCTCCCTCCCGGAGGCCCAGGGACTGCGGAGGCCAGGCTGGGGTCTGAAAGTGAAAGTGGACACAACTTCAGGCAGGAAGCGTGTGTGTGTGTGTGTGTGTGTGTGTGTATGAGAGAGAGAGAGAGAGAGAGAGAGAGAGGGAGGGAAGGAGGGAGGCAAGCAGTTCTCCAACCTCCCTCTCTGCAATGGGTGCCACACATTGGATTTCTCATGATGCAGTACATTTCTTTCATCTTTTTTCTTTTAAAAGATTTATTTGAAAGGCAGGGTTACAGAGAGAGAGAGAGAATCTTCCATCATTCACTCCCCAGGGGGCCAGGAGCCAGCAGCTCCATCCTGGTGTCCCATGTGGGTGGCAGGGGCCCATCCTCTGCTGCTTTCCCAGGCGCGTTAGCAGGGAGCTGGATCGGAAGTGGAGCAGCCGGCGGTGCAGGCGGCCACTTAGCCCACTGCTCACAAGGCTGACTGCTGAGGGGAGCTGCTCCGCCGACTTCCTCAGGAGTGGTGGTACTTGGAGGGCCCGTGGGTTGAGTCCAGAGAGGAAGCCACGCCCGTGTGGACAGGCCAAGTGCAGGCCTGCATGCCACCTTCCTAGCAGTCCTCTGAGCTTGGGCATCTTACCCCGTTTCACAGATGTGCAAACTCAGGCTCTAGAAGGGGCCATAATTGGTCAGAGGCCACGTGGCTAGAAATCGGCTGAGGGGAGGGTCAAAGCCAGGGCTATCTAAACCTGACATCCCAGCATTTCTGCTCAGAAGCTTACAGTGGAGGTGCAGCCCAAGTTCAAAGGCAGAGACAGTGACTCACGCCTTGCCCAATCCCCCATGTCTCCCAGTAGGTGACCCCCACCCTGCACAATGGGTCAGCTCAGTGCCACAGGGGCTGTGAACACAGCCAGCATGGCCGGGAAGTACCCCACCAGAGCAGAACCGCGGCCCCAGCATCTGAACGACCCAACCCCAGTCCTTGGACCTCTGTAAGCCTCAGCTTCTGCGAATGGCTGTGACCTTGACTGTGGGCTGTGGGCAAACGTTCTAATCACTTG